CGAGGGGTTTCCCGTGGGCGTCACCCGGGGGTGCTCCAGCCACGGCACACGTCCTGCAGGAGGAAAGCGAGCAAAGCCCACGCGTGGCGGCTGCTGCGGGCAGGTGCTCGTGCGTTGGGTCTGTGATGGACGGGCACAGGGTAGTGCAGGTGTGGAGGGTTAACGCTTCCTGACAACGCGGGCTGGGAAGTCTGCCGGAGAAACGCTCCGCCGTCGGGAAACATGCCGACTTGCCAAAGCACAAGCTGCTTGCAAGAAGGAGATGGATCTGACCTAGCTTTTCTTCTGAAAAAAAAAAGTTTAGAGAAAGGGTTTGAAACAGCTTAGACATCTTTTCAACGTTATTGAAACATGAAAGTACTGTTTTTCAGTTTGCGGTGGCATTTGTTCTCTTCACTAGAGGCACTTCCCACTGCCCCTCTCCAAGTCTCTGAAATTCTTACAGGACGAGGAAATCGCTTTCCACCCAGTCTTTTAAAAATCCCTTCTGCTGGGGATACTGATGTGATCCTGACAGAGCTGCTGAAAGCTCTCTTTTAAGACGGCTTGCTGACTGGGGGCCCTCAGTGGCTCATCTACACATTCATCAGTTCTCCCCATCCACGGTGGGCTCCATCAGCATCCCCTCAGTTAGGTGTCACCCTTCTGCAGTCTACTCGTGCCTTCTCCCCAGACATTTCCTCCCTGCACATCAAGAACAAGTGCCTCTTCTCCCAGGGTCTAGCGATGCTGCTGAGCTCTGCTGTTGCCCCACCGTGTGCACGGCCACGCGGTGCCTCCACTGTGCCTACGTTCGCTCCAAAACCAGGAGCGGCGGAGGAGGCAGAGGCACTGGTGTCAAGTCAGGAAGGACTTTGCCCCATGCTTGCCACTTCAGATCCATAGGAGAAACAGAGTCTAAGTGCACTAAGTAAGGCCTCGATGACCTTGACACACCTACCCATGGGGCAGGAGCTCCACTTCAACTCAGCCCCAGTAGCAGTCCCTGCCCAGCTACGTCGCAGGTGTTTCTCTCTCCAGCCCCATCTCCTGGGTGGACCTTGGACCCGTGTTTCCAGTTCTGTTCCGGGCACCATCTCCCGCTGCTCCTGCCCGGACTCCCTGGGTGCACCTTGTACCTGCTTCATGACCTTGCCTCGTCTGAGCGTGTCAGTGGGTCCAACCACCAGTGCCTGCTCTGCCTGTCCTGCTCAGGTGCTGCAGGACTCTGCTGGTGACAGCCACCGCCGTGGCTCCGGCCACCCCCAGCTCATCTCCCCGTGGGGCAGCCCCACTCTGCCGCTCCCTGAAGCGGTGGCAGAATCGCTGCCCAGAGAACTGGCGGCAGCAGGACTGCAGCGAGAAGAAAGCCATCAGGCAAAAGCCAGAAACAGAGGCATTTGCATGGATAGGGGACGAGTAAGCACATCTTTCTTGGTGAGGAAGGTGATGCTAGAAAGAGCTTATTTTTGTTTCCTTGTCTCTTCACTGACCTGGCAGCAGAGGGGCAGAGCTAGCAGTACTCAGCCGACACCGAGTACTGAAAACAGCTAATGCGAGCGGCTTTGTGGGAGTATTGCTGCAGCTACTTGCTGTAACGAGCTTTTCCTGTCGTATTCCTGGGCAAGCGAATGGCAGTGACTGGTACCTTCTCTGCAGCTGGGCAAAGAGGGCTGCCTGGGCAGAGAAGCTGCGGCCTCCCAGATGAAGTCAGAACAGCTTCCCTCCTTTCCCTTACGAAGCAAGTGTAGAGAGGGAGAGTAGACTGAGGGGAAAATGAGGTCCTGGGTGGGGACAGAGAAAAAGCTGGGGAGGTTCACTTGGCTCTGGGGTCATTGTCAGAGAAATTCTAGATATGACGTGATACACGACAGAGACGATGCTAAAGGCAGGTCCCTTCTTCAGCCCTCTGACAAGACCTGCCGGTCAGTTATACAGGATGGTTTTACTTGCCGATCTCATGCAGAGTTGGAAGGTGAGCCCACAGAACGGAAAAATGCAGAAGCTGCTTGAAATAAATTCATTTGCAACGACAGATCGGCTTATTTAGATTGCTATCTAACACTAATACCTGCAAGCCAAGTTTCGGTGAGCGAAAACAGAGTTGTTTCACGCACCCTTAATGCAACTGTGT